ATTAAGGAGAGTATATCAGATCTATGTCAGAGATCAAGATTCATCCTAAATCTGTATTAATTATAATACTATGGTGTTGGTACAAGGAAAAACAAATGGCTATTAGAATAGTTACAGAGCACAGAAACACCCACATATTTGTGAGAAGTTAGTATACATTAGATGTAGCATTGTAAATCAGTGTTGGAATGGGTAGGTTTGTCAATACATGGTTATAAATAAAGATTTTCTACCCTATTCCACACAAAAAGGTAAAATCCAGTTATATGAAACTATAAACTACTTTATAAGTTACAAGCCACAATCTAGGAAAGGTGTTTTACATGATTTATAATTAAGAAAGGTCTGGCATTCAGGGACTATAAAGTATGGATTAATGAGGAAAAAGAATTAACTCAAAATGGGCAAAGGATGAATAGATATTTATGCAAAGGTTAAATAATTTAAATGACCAATAAACATTTGAAAAGATGCTCAGCTTCATTAATGATCAGTGAAGTGAAATTTAAAATAATAATCAACTACCGTTTTATACTTTAAATTTTTTACTTGTATTAATATTTTTTATAAGTAGAAAGGAATGTAATTTTATCACTGCTGTTGGGGTGGAAGTTTCATCACTTTTTTATGCCTAAATATATTATATGATTTGACAGTTCCACTTCTTGATATCTACTTTAAAGATAGACCTATATGTGCATATAAGGCGGTATATACAATAATGTTCAATGCATCATTGTTTATAATAATGAAAAATTTGAAACCTATCTGTCCATCAGTAAGAAATGAATATATAAATTGATATAGTTGTATGATAAAATAATTTACAACAGTTAAAGTGAAGTAAATTGCATATATTTATGGTTACATATCATAACACCTTAATATTGAGTAAAAAAAAGAAAATTGCAAAAGGAGATTCAGTATATGACATGATTAGTGATTTGTATAAAGTGTTTAATGTGACAAACAGTACAATATATTTTTTATTCATACCTACTTACATAGCAAAGTAAAAAAATATGGATAAGAAATATACACCAGTTTCAGTGTTAGAGTTCTGTCTAGAGATAGAGAGAGGAATAGAATTCTTAATATTCTTCGTAATTTTCTATAATATTCTCTTTAATTTTCTGAAATACTGAAATATTTCATAATTAAAAAAACTGAAAAACAAAAATTGGTTACTTTTTATTCTCATACATATTCACTGAATCAAATAATTGATTAATTTTTCCAGTGTTATCAACTGACCACAAAAATAACTAATCACTCTATGACCCTTTCAACTAGAAATGAATAGAAAACAGCTATTTTGTTTATGCATCATCTGTTGCATAGCAAGTTCTACAGACTCAAAAGCCTTTACTAATCTTCTCTTTAGAATAGCATAGTGGCAGAAAGGAACAAAAAATTATTGATTTATATATATATATTTTTAAATAAACTCATTTTATATTGAATCAGTGCAAAGGAATTGAATTTGTGGAAAATTGTAAAACAAAGATTGATACAACTTATTTTCATAAAATATTTTGTGAAGCAGACACAATATCAAAAGAAATTATCTAACCTAAATTTATTAAACATTGAATTTATTAAATATTAGCTGGGCTTTTTTTTTGTTAATGTAGTTTTAAAAGTACCATTCATGTATTGATGCCAATGGAATTGGGATTGCAACTATTTTTACCTGAAGAATTCCTTAAGCACTTCATCCTCATACCCTATAACATGAGCATCAATTCAAAGCTTGATGCATGATTTATTTTCTAGATATTTGAAAACTGAAAGAATTACAGGGAAGAATTTAGAAGATTAGGAAATTCTCTAGTAATATGCATTTCAAAAATAATTTTATTGTAGAAAAATTAATTACAGGTCTTTGTAATAAGAGTTCTACTTCATTCAAGTGTTTGGTATTTCGCTAACTTATTTACTTCCAGAAAATTTTGAGATGGTCCTCAAAATCCAATTCTATGCTGATTCTTTAGCACAGAAATTTTAAACAGTTATAAGAGTTTAATCAGAAATGAAGATTAACTGTTTCTGATGTTGAGGTAATGAGGAAATTATTCTATTTGTCAGAAACTCAATTTGCATGTGTTTTTCAGAAATTCCCTTTGGATATAAAATGATTTGGCGTCAACACCTATGGATAAATAAATAAATTGGCAAAGTGAATAACATCTATATAAAATTTTCACTGTTTAAGCTATTAGTAATTAATTTTAAAATCACAAGTCTGACAGAACTAATCGTACACAATGTTAAAATTAGAATGATTATAGTTGATGTGAATTTTTTGTTGTCTGGAAGAATGGTTTTGCTTGCAGGAGAGACTATTTGGGGATTTATTTTTGGCTTTAAAAACTAGTATTCAGTTTTATAGTGCTATAATTTTTAAAAATCGAGACTTTCTTTAGACTTTTCTGTTCATTCGGTTAACTCTATAAGTGTAGCAGATATTAATAATCACTTTTAACAGTCTTTGAAAAATGTCCGGTTCCAACTCAGCTAAATAAAATACCTTCAAACATTTGAAATGGTTAATACATTTTATATATTCTGTTTCCTTTTAAGTGCTTTGGATGTCTCAATTAACAAACAAAACCTTCCTGAGTAATTAATGCACAAATATAACCAATTAAATTTATAAATAGGCTGTAACATTAATTATCTTAAATATTCCAATACTATTTGGAAATTTAAGATTTAAAATCACAAGTACAAATTAATTAATCACTTATATTTTGAATGGAAGTACCACAGAGCCCCTCAGTCTTTTTCGTTCACTCTTTTTAGTAACACTCCTTCTAACAGGGCTGGTGATTTGAGAACACCCCTGACCCTTAACAGACTTCTATGCTATCATCCTGAGAAGTCCTATCTGATTCCTTAGTCTAAAGATCCTATCCCATTTCTGTAGCAAAGACTGTTATTTGAATTAGCTTAGCGTAACTACCATACTTTATGACTTTCCCAGAGTATAGCTGAATCTTTCTTTGGTTTTTCTAATAACCAAGATCTAATGAGACTAGAGCCTTTCCAATTCCTTTTTTGTTGGTAAAATGAATAAATGCGATGAGTATAATAATTATTTATAAAAGACACCAGGCTGTTCATAACAGTGATAAGTAGTACACTTGGAAAATTTGCAACAGGATATGTGCTTGCTTTGGCTCAGAAAGCTAGGATAGTGAAGAGTAATATTTCATTCATTCATTTATTTGCTTATTTTACCAAGGCCAAGGGAAGACAGGGAAAAAATACATAGAAAACATCAGTGAGTAATGAGAAAGGAAACATTTAATGAATCCCTTACAATCTAGGAAAAACATTAGGATTGGCCTCACACCACCTGATATGTTCCATTCTCCTCATTTGTTGGACAGGCCAATATCTTAGAATGTTCTAGATGTAAATATATTTCAACTTCCATGCTACCTCTGATTATTTGATAGTGCTGCCTGGGTGCTAGATTGAGAATAATGGTGAAGCATGTTCAATATTAGCAGGAAAGAATGCCTGATTAGCAAGCAATGCCTGCCAATACTGGTGAAAGGAAGGCATCCATGCCATATTTGCTATCCTCTGCAGGCTTTGGAGTATAATGTAGAAATGTTCCCATACAGGGCCAATGTTAAGATGTGTTGATACGCAGACTGTATACACATCAGGTATGCCTGGGAATAGCAAACAAATCTAAGCTTGAAAATAGTCAGTGCCAGTCAGGGTGTTCTGATAGAAAGCAATGGAGATGCAGCTGCAGAGCCTAATGTTACCAAGGCAGCCTCTAGTTTGTGGGATAGTGGTAAGAGGAAGGTTAAGCAGGGTGCCAAGACAAGGGCTCAGTAAACAGGACAAAAACCCAGCTATTGGGCTGGGAGATAAGGTGAGGGCTTGCTTTTAAAAGAGATAATGATCTAAGAACTATAATAAAAGTTCAGAGATGAGCAGGAAAGTCTGACTTGATGCTGAACTGAGGAGTTACTAGCATAAAACTATGTAAATTCCTCTATTATAGCCTAGGCCCAAATGAGGCAGGAGGTAAGAGATACTGTCAGATATGTTGGCTGGAATATTACAGACACAGGAAACCTGACAGTTCTTTATGTTCTGCCACATGCTCTCCAGCCTCTCCACTATTAGAGATTATACTCAAGACTGTAGGAACCACCACCAAAGACTTAGAGCTGTGAAAACCTAAATTGTCTAGAAGTGGTATGTTCTTAGTATGTTAATTTGAAACATTGTATCACATAGTGGTTAGTTTATAGTGGTATAGTTAAACCATGGATACCATGGATTAAAAATCATATCCTTGGCTCCCTTGGGACCATAATTTCTAGCTATAACTGTATTTGTGTGGGTGGGAAACCATGTTTCATGCTTCAAGCACATGATGCTCACAAACTGTTTATTTGAAGAGTAACGTCATTCAGTAGATTGTTGTTTTGACAACATACACATAGAATAGATAAGCAGATATATTTAATAGAAGGAAGAACCAAGCTAGGTAACCTTAAATTCATTCAGAAATTTATGTTGGGAAGTAAAGAAAATCTATTTAATCCATCTCCGCTGATTTGAATTTACGATTGCCAGCCTAGAACAGCCAAGTATTGTTTCATCTACTTAAGAAAATTTGATAAGCCAGTTAAACAATAAATAAGATTTATGATGTATACTAATTCTACTTAACAAAGCAAATTATTTTAAATTTAATTTTGCAATATGTTGTACCTAAATGAGTACTGCTAATTACAAGTAAGTTTTACTTATTAAAGGAGATTCCACAAACATATAATTCACACATACTTTAAGTTTATATTTATTCTAATATTTTGTTTGATTTAGATTTACAGATCCAGACTGATCTTCCTTAATTGGTTATAATTAGTAATGGATGGGTGTGTGTGTGTGTGTGTGCATGTGTTTAAGAATCAGAGAAAGATTTGACTTTATCCATTTCCCCTTCCTCCCTCCCCATCCCCCAGGTTTTTACCTAGTCTTGCTAGGTCAGCATTAGAAAAAAATCTGGCAGATGCTACAATAGAAATAAATACTGATGATAATTTGGAGCCAGAACTAAAGGATTACAAATGTAAGTATTTGATTTGGCTCTTTTTTTTAAGTTAAATAATCATTTATTTAACAACAAACATTTGATGCTATTTATTTTAATTCCAGTTAAAAATGTTTTTGGTTTTCATCTATCTTATGTATTAGCTTGAAGAAATGAATCTGATTTTTTTTAAGTTTGAAAAACACAAGTTAAATCTTAGAATATTTACTTCATTAAAGTACATGCTAAATACAATTCCCCTCACCTTTAAGACTCACAATTGATACTAATTGATAGTCTGAGAATTCCTGCTGTAAATCAACTTGTCTAATTTTGACAAACGTACTTTTTCCAAATGTATTTCACCAGCGAATCTAGAATGCTGTTTTCTTTGCAATTTACACTTTGAGGGTCAGCAATGTTCTATAAGATACGTAGGAGAAACTTTTCTAGATTGATACAAACTAAAATAATAATTAGAATATGCATACCCTTTTATTCCTTATTCCTTCCGTTTCCACCTGTATTGTCTTTTGTGGTACTTTTCTTTTGGATACCCATCTGTATAATTCTGAGTTTTGGGGAGATTTAGTTCTTCATTTAAAAGCTTCCTATTCTTCAATTAAAACACAATGGAAGATTTTCAGTTTTTTTTAAATGTAAATACCTATTTTACCAAAACAGCCAATGTGTGACCACTTTTTAAAAGGGACTGTTGTGGCTTTCTTTGTAGCAGATGCTTTTAATCCTTGGGGCTGCACTGAGACAAGTATTTGGTATCAAGGAAATAAGATGACTTTCTTAGAGTCAAATTATAAACCCAGCATTCTGAGGGATCCGAATACAGATACACAGAGTCAACTCAAAGATACGGAATAATATTATAGTTTTATAATATTATTTCAGTGAGTCTATTAAATACCTAAAGAAAGACTCATTCAGACTGTAGATTTGGTCTTGGTTACTGGCTAGTGTTAGCAGTGCCCATTTAAGCCTCATATAGGAGATAAGGAACCTAAGTGAAAAGACTTTACTTATCTGGTTCCATTCCTCTATAAGGCCATCTCTCTTGTGAAGAATTCATTTAATTAAGTCTCCATGATCAGAGCTCATGCTCACACAACAACATTCTGATGAGGAACTGGCTTTCCATGCAGGTTCCCTCCAATTAATATGGTGGTTATTTATATCATAGTTCATGTAAAAGTTACAGTTGTCATATAACATTTTGCAATTCTGATTTTACATCAGAATATATAGAGTGAAACCAGAATATATATATTTAATATTCTGAAAGTTAGATTTGCCCTCAGTTGTGATGGCAAAATCAGGTTTACAGCTACTAGGCTGAGAACCTTGGCAAATTCACCAAAATAATGCCATTCTGTGAGTTTCTTAGAAGATAGCTAGCCAACTTTTTCCCACAGAAGTGCTAGCATGACCATTCTCTTAGTGCATTTCCCTTTTTGAGCTTGACATTTTAACAATAAACATTGGTTGAGTGAATAAGCTTGTCCTAAAGCCATAAATCTACTGAATGGATGTATTCCATAAACTAAACCACAGATAGCATCAGATGCTGTTTGAATCTGAAATTGGGTGTGTCATCTCAGCATGCAAGTAGATAGTAGATTCACTACCGCATCCCTGCTCTTTCTTTCCCTTTACAGTTTTATATTGGGTCTATTTCAGAGCCCTAATAGTAGTAAATAAATAGTAAACTCTCAGTGTTACAGTTCATGGTTTTCCTTCCCCATAGAAGTTGGGAATAAAAGGAAAATGGCAAGGATCTAATATTGAAGGGCAAAGTTACTATTAAGATCTACTGTGCTTGTCAAATGTGTAGCACTCAGCAGTGATTACACTGGGTGGCAATTAATTATATTTAGTTCAAACTTGTTCACAGTACTCCATAGAAGCAAATGTTGCTTTTCTCCATTTCTTTCAAAAGGCTTAGCACAAAAGTTGCATTCTAGTGGAGAAACAAACTATAATTTTCTTATTTGAAGTAGAAAAAAAAAAGATGGGTGAATTGTTTAAGGCATTGTATATTTGCTTGCTAAAGTATTTCCATAGGCTGGAATGTTATTTGGAGTCAAAATATTAAATATACCCCATATGGTAGAAAGAATGTCAGACTAGACTAAATTCTGTTTTAAGCTCTACTCATTAGCTGGGTGATTTTGAGCAAATTGTGTAGTGTATGTTCTTCATGTTCTCATTATTCTTTCCTCTTTGAATTGCATGAAATTATATGAGAAAAAAATGAGGTGAAGTTTCAGCTTGGGATCTGGTATATAGAAGGTCTTCAATAAATATAGTTAAATGATAACAATAAATAAATGATAGTTTATATCATTGTAATCATTAATATTACTATAATAACTACTATTAGTGCTGTTAATATTGTTATTGAACTTGGAACATGTCAGTGAACATGTCATGTATGTTTGGTTACTGTAGGGAATAATATGAAATATGTTCCCTGACTTCAAGAGCTTTATTATTTAGTTTTCTAGCTTCAAGGAACTCATAATCTATTCTAGGTCAACCTATTTAAGCAAATAGAGAATAATATAACAATTATTATTACAAAATAATTGCGTAAGACAGAGGTTCCCAATCTAGCTGGGTATGAAAATCACCTGGGTAATTATTTGAAAATATAGGCTTCCTGGACCAACCTTGAAAATAGTAATTTTAAAATATTTCTTTATTTTTTTTAATGTTTAAAGTTTTATTTATTTATTTATTTATTTATTTATTTATTTATTTAGAGGCAGTGTTGCACTCTGTTACCCAGGCTGGAGTACAGTGGTGCAATCATGGCTCACTGTAGCCCCAACCTCCTGGGCTCAAGTAATCCTCCTGCCTCGGCTTCTTGAGTAGCTGGGACTACAGGCATGTGCCATCAGGCCTGGCTAATTTTTCAGATTTTTTTTGTAGGGACAGGGTTTCTCTATGTTGCCCAGGCTGGTCTTGAACTCCTAGGCTCAAGTGATCCTTCTACCTTGGCCTCCCAAAGTGCTGGATGACAGTCATGTGCCACTTCACTTGGCTGAAAATAGTAACTTAAGAGTTCTGTGGTAGGTTAATTCATCTGTATTTCTGACTAGAGCTATAGGAGATTATCTTAAGGGGTTTTTGAATTGGTGCACACTAAAATATAATATTCAAGATGCTTTGGAGCTTTTGAATTTAAGTGTATTTAACTTATATATGTGTTATAGTCTCTGACCAAACAAGCCTATGAAAGTGGCTTGACTGTATTCTGTTTTTTTTTAACTTTCTCGCATATATATATATATTTCTCACATATATATATACACACATACATATATATAGTTTGCTGTCTACATTGTTTTAAAGAAAATGTGTTACCTTTTGGAGCATTTTATATCTAGAGCAGTGGTTTTTTATTACCACCCTCAAGCTTATTTCTTTAGATGTTAAATTAATATCCACAGATATTACTGAAGCTGTATTGTGTTCTATGTTGTATGGCTTGGCATCTCCGAGGACAGTGCTATGAATAATTATCTGTCCTGTGTGAAATGTTTAGGTGAAATAACATCTGGATCTCTCAGGATTGGTGCTGTTAGTGCACCGATCTATAATGCACATGAGAAAATGAAAGTGCCTGATGTTCTGTTCTATGACAACACTCAGGTAAGAACGTGTTCTTGGATAAATCACTTAAATTGTGGTAGTAAACTCCAATTCAAGTGAAATTGACATGTAATTATTTTTGTGATTTCCTAAATTTAATTTAGATGATGCAAAATGAAGAATTGAACATCTTTTATTAAGACATAAAACAGAAAATAAAGACAGAAAACAGAAAATTTTTTCCAAAGCTAGTTAAAAATTAGAGGAATTGTTGCTACGATTAGGGTAATAAATTATAGATATATACATATAATTATATATGTAATTTGATATACAAGTTTTAAATTAAAGCAAGCATTTTAAAATTTAAAACAAAACAGAGCTATCATCTTCTCTTTTACTTGCTTGTTAAAACATTTCAGTAGTCCAGAAGGATATGTCCTATACATCCTTTTTATCATATTCTTCCTTTTCCTGTAAATTCCTAGTATTTTTCTTTTCTTTCCTTTTACTTTCTTTTTAAAGGAAGGAAAGTAGAGAATTCCCTCCTTGTAAACTAGCCAATAATTATGGACCTTCCACTAAGACATATAAATTTGTATCTAGAAAGCTTTATTGTGGATGCTTACTTCAATAAGAATATTTTTAGAGAAAATTACCTATAATACAAGATTTTTTTTCTCTTCTAACTTTTCTGTCAAGTGGCTATGTATATTTCTTTTATAGCAAAACACATACTTAAAATTTCCATAATACATTTTAAATTATATTAACTGTATGCATCTAGACATATTATTCTTAATAAAAATCTTGATTAAAATTTCTGAAATCTGTCAAAACTATAATTATTTTCTATGGCATAGAAAAGAGCATAACCCTGGTTTGATTTTCATTCATTCGATAGCCAATTAAGGTTTTATTTTTCTTCTGTTAACATTAATGCTCTTGCACAATCAGTAGACAAATGAACAGAAAATAAAGTTACTTATAAGATACAAAAGTAGAAAAAAAAATCTTGCCTGTCAAAGACAAAAGCATGATTATGAGGAAAACATACTATTTCCAATCAATGCTAGTATTACACTCTATTCACATAGTGGAGAGGAACAAAGAGGCAAAGAAGCAGGAAACTGTTATAAGTGACAATTTGAAAAACTCCATGGTGGCAAAGATCAAAAAGGCTTCACAGGATATAAGAATGTGGGAAATTCAGTAGCAGCCAAGACCACTGTGCCCTTGAACACAATGTCTGTTGCCATGGTGTTTGTGACATGGACATTTAGGATGCAGGGTTGTGTGAACTTTACACAGTGGCCCTGAGGGACTTTTCATAAGCTGTCTCCAAAACGTACCTTCCCTTCTTAAAGCATTATGAATTAACTATTAATAAAATTTTTTTACCTGCACCAGTTCCACAACAGTAACTTGATTAAATTTGCTCCCATTGTGTATATTATTACTTCCTTTTATGCTATACTTCATCTTTGAAGCAGTAGTCAGTGCCTCTTGCAGATTTAGGTGCTCCTGTGTCATCTTGTTCATGCCGTGTTGTCCCCTTACCACATTGTGTTGAAATGGACTTTTAAAATGTGTCTTTCCATATCACTAAGGCATAGCTCTATGTTTTCTTTATTTAGTATTTCCAGCAAATAGCAAAGTGCCTGGCACATAGTAACTGCCAAGTAAATATGTGCTGAATGGATTAATAAAAGAATGAATAAGAGTTTGAATGTTCATGATAAAGAGTATTACTTCAGGCCAGGCGTGGTGGTTCATGCCTGTAATCCTGGCACTTTGGAAGGCCAAGGTGGATGGATCATGAGGTCAAGAGATCGAGACCATCGTGGCAAGCATGGTGAAACCCTGTCTGTACTAAATATACAAAAATTAGCTGGGCATGTTGGCGTGCACCTGTGGTCCTAGCTACTTGGGAGGCTGAGGCAGGAGAATCACTTGAACGCTGGAGATGGAGGTTGCAGTCAGCCATGAAAGCACCACTGCACTCCAGCCTGGAGACAGAGTGAGGGTCCATCTCAAAAAAAAGAAGTTTTACTTCATTAAATCTTTCATTAAGGAATATTATACTTGCAACAGTAAGGAGAAGAAGTTGGAGGAAAGAGAAATTAATAACCTCTTAATAAGCCTAAGGAATTTTAGATGAGTAAGAATTTTAAAATACCCACTGTGAGTCTGGTCTTGTCCTAAGGTATTGGGATACAGAGATTAAAATACGCACACAAATATATGCAGCTCTAGGGCTCAAGTTGTTCATAATCTGCAAATAAATACACATAGTTTCTACACAGTGTAGTGGAAGTAGGTGCAGGTTACTTATGGTAGCCTTGATGGGATTGACTGGCCCAGATTGGAATGATTATAGAAAATTGGTCAACCAGACCCAACTAGGAGAGCCTCTCAGTCAGAAAGACTAGCATTAGCAGAGACTTAGTTATATGAGAGAGTAGCTCATTTAGGGAGCTACACTGGTAAGAAGCGAAGGTTGCAAGTGGAAGAGTGCCAAGAGAAAAGGCTGGTGAATTAGGAAGGAGGGAGATCTCAGTTTTGCTAGTTAAGGAATTTGGATTCTATTTAGAAAATGAGGAAGTTATTGAAAGATTGTAAGCACATTTATACTTTGATTAACTTTGCTTTTACTCTTTAAGTATTGTTTAGAAGTTAGAACCAAGGCAAAGAGAAACTAGTTAGGTGGTTATTGCAGTAGTCCGGGTGAAATTTATGAAGGATATGAACTAAAGAGGTGACAGTGGGGACAGAGTGGAGAGGACACATTGCAGGGCTATTTAAGAGATCAAGTCAGTGGAACTTTGGTTAGATGAAAGGCGGAGATTCTTTCTCAGGGAGCACAATGTCTGGTGGAAAAGTAAACAGAAGAGTAAGTAGAACATTATTCTAAATCATGCCTATGATTGGAAAGACAGTATAGAAGGAGAGTGATAGGAGATGAGGCTGAGACTAGATCAAAAATGTAAGGAATGACCTTTGCTCCTAAAGTGTTAGAAGTCATTTAAGGAATTTTGAGAAATAAGGTGACAAGATTTTGAACAAAGAAGTGTCAGTACTGTAAGAACACATTGGCTCAAGGGGAGACTAAAGTTAGAGAAGCTAATTAGCTGATACAAATCTAGGCCAGAGATAATAAAAACCTCAATCAAAACTGTAGGGTTGGAAAAGAAAGTATAGATACAGTTGATTTTTGGTGGCTTAACAACTCAGATGTTGTTTAGTTGGATCTTGATAAGAGAGGAGTAAGGTGGGCAGGGTGCTTCTAATAGGAGTTTGGTCAGCTGGTAGGAAATGATGCCATTAAATGGAGAAAAAGATAAAGGATAAAGAATGAAGTTAAGGAGAAAGTAATAAGTTGAGTTTTAGTTGTGTTGAATTTAGGTGACTGGGGAATAATAAGATGGTCTGATCACACCAAAATACAGGGCTGTAGTTAAGAAGGAAAGTTTTGCTGCTGAAGATTAGTGTAGAGTTGGTGATTGAAGCCATGAGATAGATGAGAGAATTTAAGGAGAGCAGGGTCAGAGGTAGGTCTTTGAACACTGATATGTGGGTATCCAGCTCTGCATACAGCCCTCCCTCAACCCTCAGGTGGGTGCAAGTAGCCACAACCTGCCCAATACCATGACTGCAAAGGGAAGCATGTAAGAAGGTAGAAAGAGAACAAATGAAGGAACTGTGGGGAAAATCAATATTTAAGGAATTGCTACAACAAGATCCAGCTCAGAAAACTACGGGGAGAGATTGTTAGAGAGATAGGGAGGAATCAGGGGAAATGGAAAACTGGGAAGGAAACTTCTAGGAAATCGTCTGCAGTACTAAGTGGGTCAAAAGGCTGAGATAATTATGTTGGCAGTGACTTTAGCCTTAGCTAAGGTTTGTTGATTTGAATAATTTAGTTAGGTGAATGAGGGCATGAAGTAGGAGGACATGAGAATTGTAAAGAAGAACACAAATATTGTTTGGATTATTTTTCAATATTTACATTTCTTTTTTCTTTGCTTGGCTATTTAGGTACTTACACCAACTTTTCAATGTGGATTAGCCCATTCATTATTGAAAGAACTTAGTGTTTTCTGGAATTGGCACTGACTTTTCATCTTAGTGAAAAGGAAGAGGTCTCCATACTATATTGCCACCAGAACTCAGCTTAAAATGATGTTCTAGGACTCTGTTTTATAGGATGACCATTTATCTTTATTTGCTAAACATAGTCTCTGCTTATACTTATTGTCCCAGCATAATTATTAATAATGTCTCTTTTTATTCTTAAAGAATATGCCTTATATCCATTTAAAAGTGTTAAAGAATAGACAGTTAATGGATATACTCACCTCATTTCAAGCCTTGTTAAAACTCTAGCTCCATGGTGTATCTGAAATAATTTTTGAAAATAAAAATCACCAAAATAAACATCAGGGAATACTCATTTGTTCCTGAAGGAAATTAAACATTTTCTCAGGTTTTCTTCTAAGAAAGAAACTCTGAAAGAAAATGCTATTAAATTTGACAAGAAAAATTTGTGTGTATATATATAGTTTATATGTAAATATAAAATATATTTATATTTTTATATCTATATGCTATATATAATTTATATATATAATACCATATATATGAAGCACCATAAATGAAATTTTAAAAAGAAAAGCAAGTAACGTACTAGAAAAATATCTGCAGCATGTGTTAGATGCAAAAGGTTAATTTGCTTTTTTACAAATAGGGAACTTCAATAACTTTAGTACTTATGAACCTGCTATTGATTTGATACAGAAAACCAAGAGAAAGAGAAAGTAATAGGAATATTAATTGTGCTAGAGTGTAGATCTCTTCCCAGCCCCAAAGAACCCTCATGACCTACTTACAGGTGTCTTATTTTTCAAGATGCAAAAGAGCAATGTATTTTCCTCTGTGGCTATTGTGAGCAACATTAATCTTGTTCTTTTATTATATTGTGTCATAATTCAAATTAAAAAGTATGGAAGGTAAATAGTATATTTTTAATTCTGAAGCTATCCATAGCTTTAAAAGTAATGGTTAAGAACAAGTCAATATAAAATGTTCCCTGGAAATGTCCAGTTATTTTAGGAAGTCTTTGTATATTTACATTAGCAAGTGTCAATTTAAATATTATATGAAATTATAAGCCAACTCTACATAGTATAATAGGTAAAAAATATCTGAGTTGAATTATAAAAATTCCAAAATATTGGTCAGTTGCTTAGTCTTGCTCAGGTGGACTATTTCAGGTTTTCAGTATCAGTTACCTAAATGGTTATATAATTTACTTATAACCACAGAATTAATTTTGTGTTAAATCACATCACTTGATTATTATTTATTATAATAGATATTTATATTCTATAAAGATATCTCACCTTGATTGTACAAAACACAGTTAACCTCTAGTTCTTTTTTCTCTAGCACATGCTAGTGATGGAAGATATGCTGAAAGACTTTCTCCTTGGAGAACACTTATTGTTAGTTGGCAACCAGGTGAGTTATGGCTAAAATCTAGGTACTAATGAAAAGATGATAGTAGCAATTTAAAAGCAGTAAATTTCTTCTTGTTGGGATCAGCTTGTTTTCCCCTATTAAATGACTGGTTTAATTAAATGATGGAAGGCTGCTACCCTCTAAACTTCAAAATTACCTCATCACCCTCCATTCTATCTCTCACCAAGTTCTGTTCATTCTGTTTATAGGTATCTACTCTTGTCCACATCTGTCACTCTAGCCCCAGTGATCTTCACCTGTCACCTGGATTACAGCAATAGTTTCCTATGATAGCTCCATCCCCACTTTATTCCCATTCTTATTTATGGTCCATTCTGTAGTATCTGTAGTCAGATTGATACTTGTAAAACTAAAATCTAATTGAGTCTCTCTTTTTGCTGAAATTGGTTCCCCATTGCTGTTCGGTACAGTCTGAGTCTTCAGACTGTATGGTATACAGTCCTACAGGATTCACCCTCTGCTCAGCCCTCTAGTCCTAAGCCATGGCCCCTTCTTTCTGTCACTGTGTTGGCTTGAGGCACTCTGCAGTTTCTTATCTGTTCAGTTATTTATCTCTGCTCTGGTCCCCGGTACACGTTACTCCTTCTGCAGGGAGAAATTCCTGTCTTCTTCCCATATATCTTCCCTTTAACTCGTGGAAGGGAGGCCTTCACTTGTCCCTGGCTGAATAGGTTTTTCCTGCTTCTGCTCCCTTTTATCATACTAGTCATACCATATGACTGTCTTTGCAACTTGTCTATATGTCCCTTGAGAGCAGATATCATGTTTTTCTTATTCATCTCTGTCCTCAACTCCTAGCATGGAACCTGTTACATAGTAGACACTCAAAGTATGTTTATGGAGGAACGGATGGAAATTTTAGGTTTACGGGACCTGGTAATTTTCCTCAATTGAATTTTCAGGCTCACAATGAATAGCACTTTTGGTTTTTTAAATTGGTCTTAAATTAAGGGTAATAAGGTTTCTAAAGTTTGGTTTCTGTTTTTTTTCTTTTTTGTATTTTTTAAAATAATGTGTACTCTTTATATATTTAGTTCCTCAATCTTATTTTAAAGTACTGATTTAAAATAAAAAAATAAAAAATCACCAGTTAAGTGGTTTATTGATTTGAGTGCATAGGCTTGGAAGTTAGATGACTAGAGGCTCATCAGCAACTCTTCCACATATGTTTGTATGACTTTGGGCAAATTGCTTACCTTACTAAGTCTCAGTTTCCTGATGTCTAACCTGGGAATAAAAATAGTATGGTCTCTTTGGGCTAATGTAATGTAAGGATGTCATGAGATAATGTATGGGAAGTACTTCACACAGTACTCAGTTCTGTCAGCTAAATACCTGTGTATCACTGTATAATTTAAAAGTAATATTCACTTTTGAATATTACTTTTAAAAATGAAAAATATTTCATTTTTAAAAATAAGAATTAAAAATAGAACAATAAATTATTTATGATCCTTTAATTCCAACTGTTTGAAAAATCCTACCTGTTTTTCTTCACTGAAAAATAAAAGATTAGCCTATATACCAGAGTGGGAAGATGAAGTTAACAGTCAATATTTGGTTCTTGATATTGAAACCCAGGAAGTCACAATTCTCATCTCACTTTGAAAAACATTGGCTCTGTGGACATTCAAGTCTTATGTAGCCCAAAGTACTTTGTAAACTTTTTGTAAGAGTTGCACAAACTTTTTGTAAGTTAAACTTTGGTGCACTCAATGTGTCCTTTTCAGAACTTCTGCCATTGTCTTAATGGCCTGAGACATAGAGGCTGTTGGCATCCCAACGGCAGCAGACCAGCATGGAAAAGAGAATAGACCAAGTCTATACAGAACTGGGGCTTGAGGAATAATTTTTCTAAGGTGCAGGCTTTCAAAAGGAAGGTCCCTAGAGTTAAAGGTATGGTATCCAAATGGTTTTGAAATATCTCCCATGGTATTGCTATCCTAAGGGTTTGGTGGGTTGGGTGCAGTTGGTTTCTTGGCAAAGATAGCACTTACAATTGAGCAGGTAATAGATTAGAGTTTTGGGAGGGGCTTCTAGGTTAAAAGGTTGAAGTTAATGCCTAGCCAATAACCAGAGAGACAGAAAGCATTGTCTAACCTATGGAGGATTGGGGAGAGCTATGCAGAGTGAAGTGTGAAATAGAACAGGGGTTTGCTTCTGCTTTATGATGAGTGAAACAGCGACTGTTAAAGTGTTTTGGAATTGTCCTAGAGTGCTATACACACCTTGGCATAAAATTTAATATGCTATCTTTCATCTGTTTCCAGTCCTAAAGAAAGGAACAAGGCATTAGAGCAAAGGGCTAGGCAGTGGAATGGAGGGAAGAGCAGCTACAACTCCATAGATAGATGGTTGTGTTTTGGGGTTCAGGGGAGCTCTCAACTCCCCTGAGAGGACATTTCTCCAGGTTCTTGATCTATCACTCTCTCAAGAATGGGAGAGGAGACCACAGCGTAGTGTGCTCATAAATACCAGACTCAAAAGATGTTTGAAGAAAAGTGATTTATTTAGGTAGAGAAAGGGTGGGGGGGACAGAGAGAGAGAGAGAGAGAGAGAGAGAGAGAGAGAGAGAGAGAAAGGGAACCTCAGAGGGGAAATCCAGGAGCGAGAAAGACAGCTTCCACGAAGGGAGTGTACATGGAAGGGGGTCCAAACATGGAGTCCCAAGGGGGTGTGGAAGAAGGGGACTTTTAACCTGGGAGGAAACCCCACCTTCTCCAAGACCCCTGGCCAATGAAAGGAGTTCCTTAGAACTTCCGCTGGAATGATTGACTTTTGATCCTTTCCCATGCGTGAGAAAATTAAAACAGAGACTGTTAAATCTCCCGGATGGAGAGAGATGGAAGAGGGGCATGGCACTGAGAAGTCCTTGCCCTTAAAACTACTCCCTCTTGTGTGCCTGGAAAGAGAACACATTCCCTCAGTTGGACTCCAGCTTCTGGTAAGGATGGGCAAGTGCACCAATTTTCAATCCTGTCTAGGACTGGTTCAGGATTCAGCTAGATAGAGCCTGCAAGTTGAAGATCCTCAGGAAGAGCAAGGCAGGAGCCATGGGGTGGCACAAACTTTTACTTATCTATCAGTTCTATCACAAACACCATCTGTGGTCAGCAGATTAGTGTCTTGCCTTCTTGTACCCCTCTCCTGCCACTCTCCATTTGGGAGAAAAGAAGTTACAAAGAGATTATATTTAGTATGAGTTGCTATGTTTAGCTGGCCCTTTTCATAACAAAAGAGTTTTCTGTTCTTTCATTATAAACCTCTAAGACCATCAGTGCTATATCATAGTACCAGTGTTGAAGGAACATTTATATTTTGTAAGTAAATTCTGCTACTTGTGTTCATTATATTATATAGTGAAAAAGTCTAGCTCTTTTAGACTGTCATTTGATATCCTCCATGGTCTAAACCTGCTCTGCTTTCAGCCTGGTGTTTTATTTCTCCCCATAAACTCTTGTCCTCAGATAAATTAAATACTCTGTTTCCCAAACATACCTTCTTATCAGTGTTATATTTCAACCTCTGATCTTTGCCAGCACATCCTCTTCTTTCCTTTGTCTTTGCCTAATCACATTTTCTTAACCTCGGAGTGGAAATGTGGCATCATGGAAAAGGAGTAAGCTGGGAACCCAAAGATCTACCTTCTTTTTCAGATTTTTTAACTCTCTGTGATATTTCAGTAAATTGTTATTGAGTAAATTGATATCTGTGATATCAACTGATATGTGATACTGAGTAAATAGTTATTCCTTCTAATTAGGGCCTTTTCCTTTTTCTTTTCTATAAAATTATAGGGTTGGAATGGACATTTTCTAGGATCTCTCTGGCTGTAATATTCTACAATATACTTCTTTAATAAAGTCCTTGTGAACACTATGGCTTGAAGGCATGACTTCACTCTCTTAACTGTGATAGGAGGTTACTTAAAGATTTCTTTTGGGCTCCCGATAGATTTATACATTTACCCACCATCTCTATGAAAGAGAGAAAAAGAGTCATTATTTTTGTGTCCTCCCTGATGTCTTGCATACAGTAGACATTCAACAAATACTTGCTGAATTAATTACTAGATTTTAGAGGACTATCTGAAATAAATTCCTGGCTGGGCGTGGTACTCATCCCAGCACTTTGGGTGTCCAAGGTGAGCGGATCACTTGAGGGCAGGAGTTCGAAACCAACCTGGCCAACATGGCAAAATCCTGTCTCTCCTAAAAGAAAATGAAAAGGATGGAGTGGCACGCGCTTGTAGTCCCAGGTACTCAGGAGGCTGAGACAGTAGAATCATGAACCTGGGAGGTGGAGGCCACCGTGAGCCAAGATCACGCCACTATACTCCAGCCTGGAAGACAGAGCAAGACTCCATTTCAAAAAAAAAAAAATACAATAAATTAAATATATAAATAAATTCCTAATGAGTAGCCAAAATTAGAAGTAATATGAATTTAAAATTTAGGCTTAGTTGGATTGTTTTCAGGGAGTTATAAGACAAATTGAAATTTCTTTCTCTCTGAGCTTGCAACTGTTTAAGTGAGGGAGACAAATGAATTAGATAAAATCTACCTCTCAGAGTAAATAGTTAAGTAGCCCATTCAACTGGATATAGTTCCATGATGACAGGATCAAAGACTGGCAGTATTATCACTAAGAAAGAATAATGAAATGCTAATTATTTTTTAATTTCTAATAACAAAGTGCTGATTAGTATTTAGCTAATTAAATCGTATATAACTTTGCTTGTGCTTGCATTTACAAGGTCGGGGTGGAAATTGGATCAAGGTGGCTGGTGAAAATCTAAATAGAACTTTTTGAATCCTTCAGTCAATTTCAATTACTTTCTAATGTGTTTTCATAAGGTAACATCTATGCTAAGATCTGAGCAAGATTCTATGGTTAGACTCTTGGCTGCTTCCGCTTGGTAGGTATGAGGGAGTACAGAGCCACCTGTAGTATTCCTTGGCAAATGCAGTACCACACAG